ATTACATTTCTGACTGTATATCCCTGTAATTATTACACACTGTAGCTTTAAAGGTAAAAACAAAGATGGTACTGTAATATTACAAAAAGACAGTGCCTTAGGTTTTTGCCAAAAACAAGTCTGACAGGCGTAAGATTAACAAAAGCCTAAAAAATTGTCTGAAACACATCAGACAAGTAAGTGGCAAGGTTCCTGAAATTATTTAGGCAGAGTTAAGCAATATCTTAAGCAATATCCCAGGCTTTGAAAATCTTACAGAACAATGTTCAGTTCATTGTATGACATAGTATAACACAACCTAACGAGACATGGGCATCCACCTAGGCTGACACACAACACAAGAAGAGCATTACATCTATGGCTGTTAAACAGTTGATTAGAAATGTCTTCAGGGACCGAGGCTCATACAGCAGAAAAGAAGCCGTTAATTTTGTCATATATGTAATATGAGTCCCATACAGGTCCTTATAGCTGATAATGCACAATTTCACTATCTGCGCAGACAGAGAAAAGTTATTTTATTTTCAGGTCCAACCTCTTTTTAGCCGTCATCAAAACCTTGCCTGTTTGCTTGATGAAATGTTGCCAGCCCACTTGACATGCTGTTATTGTACAGGTTAACAACTTGTAGGAGGAGTTATGAGTTGGCTTCTTTTGTTAGACTGCAATACCCCATATCCATCTAAGTGTCTGAAAGCTTGGTCGTTAAAGGGGATTGTTGGACTGGCTGAATAGACGAGGTCCTCCACTGTCCTGTAGAGGGGGTGGGGCTGCGATGATAACAGGAAGGGATAAACTTAATAGCTGCATTTTAAGTTTTTGAAGGCTGGAACCTGAGTGCACCACCAGTCTAAAAAAAGAGGCCACATGACCCCCATTCCAAATCGGCGGACCCCTTCCTCTGTACCAATTTACATGTTTTCAAAACAAAAACAATACTTTGTTGGGTTGCTGTATAAAACCTTGAACTCAAAGCTATTCCTAACATTTTGAATGGAAAAAGCTTCCTGGATGGGAAGCGAAACGTCTCCAAAATTTAAAATCAAGTCCAGTGGATTGTTTTTTATTTTTTAGGAATAATCCTAAATTGTTATAAAGCCCTGAACAAACCAGTTGCCTAAGACTTTTAATCTAGGATCCGATATATTTCCATGTCACACTGACTGCAAATAGAGAAGCAGGGAGGGTGGGTAGATCTGCGCAGATTTTTTTCACGTCTCTTTCAGTGCCACTCAAATTAAAATAATTTTCCATATTTCACTTAGATTATTAAAATGATCAAAAATAAATAAAAATAATCAGTGCAGCTGTAAAGGAAAGCCCCACTTAATGAGTCTGGGCAGCATCTCAAACCAGAACAGATAGAGAAAGTTCAAATGCCTATATTAAAAATAGGAGAACTACATAAAAACACAGAAATAAAGGCTGTTGGACGGTGTTAATGTTTTTAGAGGCACTATGAGGTGATTTTCAAAGAGATCTGTGAAGTTTATCTAAGTTTTTCTTTTTTTCCTAAAGACGTCAAAGAGATACGCCGCACTTACCTGCTCTTTTCATTATTTTTTCACAAGTCTGTATTGCTTTCTATACACAGTACGCAATGTGAATGTCCAAAACTGTTTCCCCATGCGATTAGCAGATTTTATTTTGAATTTCCCCTGAACAGAATATGTTATACTAACCACATCTCTCTTCCTGTCAGACACATGAAATTGTCTAAAATAGACCTGGGGTCTATCTCAGTCGGAGCTACGCAAGCCCTCTTGGAGAAAATCGTGTCGGGTGTGATCATACACTTTTACTTTTTTCTGTGGGCAAAAAATCAGATTCAGTGTGCTCTGGCCTTAAGTGTAAAAGGGGCTGAAGACATACCTAGAAAGACGGGTAACAGACAGTAGTGGTTCTCCTTACAGCAGAGAAATACAAAGGCAAAACTAAATGTTATTTTCTTTTTAGTTAACTGGCAAACACAGGAGTGCATTGGTCTATCCCTATTGAAAAATGTATTTAAGTTTTTCTTTTAACCTAGAAATTGTAGATTTATAGGGGTTGGATCATTTGCAAGTTTAAATGTTCTCAATTTTTGTACTTTCACCTTGACATTAAACAATTTCATTACATATCTGCATATACTGTATTTTACGTTACTTGACGCCTCCATTCTTATCTTAAATGAAAACAGTTCATGTTTCTGTTGAAAATTGTACTTTGCCATTTGAAAAAAAAAAACATTACCTTCATTAATCAAATAATGGTCTGCATTTCACCACAAACATGTATTTGCTATTTAAACATAAATGATAAAATTGTAAACACTTTTTTTGTACACTTATGCACTGAATCTCTTGAATCTGAATCTCTTCTCTGACATCAGATACAAGCTGGATTATCTTGATTTGTCATTTCTGGTTTATAGCAGCAACGTTCACTCTTCATAGCAGGGGCAGGCTTCGTTGCATGTGACTGGATGGCAGATCAACACCACATGCAGCACACAGACAGAGATCTGACCCAGCTACCCACTGGACTGTGCGTATTAGAAGAGAGATGCAGACAGGAGGAAAGGAAAGAAAGAGAAGGGTGGAATGGGGGTGTGAGATGGGGGTAAAAAAGATGAAGTTGATATGATGAGAGTGTGCAGGAGACTGGATTGAGGGTGGGGTGAGGTGGGGAGCTGAACAGCATGACCCATCAGAACCATGAAGTTAAAATGGAAGTTGTATTGTTGCCATCATATTCTTGTGTAAACTGTGGATTTTGTTTACTTGCTCTTGAGGCGATGTACTAATTGAGGGTCAAGGCCATATCCAGCTGTGCTGCACCAATCAATAAATATAAATAGAGGCTTTAAAGCATGCACGTAATGTTTCTTTAGAAGTGTGACTTTCATATAAGGTGAACACTTATAATGTAATTTGCAAACAAATCCTGTACTTTGTATATGTTTTTATCTTCTATTTCTTGGAAATTGGTTTGTCTTTCATTTTGCACACTTAAAAAAGGAAGTCTATTTGGGTTTACATTTCTTTTAAGAGAATATTAATTGAGGTAATAATACCAAAAAACTGCAGAGACAAAGCTCAGCAGGATGTCTGAGAGTGAGTGAAAGAGAGGGAAAGATGGGAGGAGTGTTGGAGAGAATAATAAAAATGGAGAGATGGTGACTCACTACCATGGTGGTAAAGCTCTGATTTATTCTCTCTGTCTTTTCTGGGTCATATACTGTGGGTGTTTGCGGGGCTCTATTAGCAGTTGGTCACTCGAAGCAGAGGCTTAAGCAACTTTAACTTCTCCTCCCACAAATACTGTAAACTGTCAAACTGGAGCAAGGGAAAAACATCAAACTAAAAATAGCATAACCCTTTTGACCGTTTATATGAATTACAGAAACAAAATGTTAAAAGCAGCTGTTTTAATACCCCTCTGAGACACCCCAATCAAGATTATCACTGACAAAAGGACTTACCCAATAACCACAATGACAAAATCCAGCATGTTCCAGCCGTTTCTCACATATGCATTCTGGTGCATCACCAAACCATAGGCAATAATCTTCAGAAAGGTCTCAATAGTGAAAATGATGAGGAAGGCATATTCAACTGTTTCCTGCAAAAACAAATAAGCAAAAATAGCAAGGAAATTAGCGTGATGCAGGAACTTTCCCTACAACTTCCGTGTATTTCTAAAAATGTGCAAAATCTATTTATCGGGGAAGAAAGAGAAAAGGACCAAAGACAAATTCCTCTAATCACAACTAGATTTTAACTTTGTCTTACTATCACAATTATGATACAGTAATAACCACCAATATATATTAAAACAAGTAAAATCAAAAAAATGCCTCTTAATTACAGTTTGATCAAAGACTGGTTCCTGGGAAAAAGGTAATAAAATAGCTTTTTTATTTCTAAATGAACTCATCAATTATGAAAAATGTAAGACTTTCAATATAGCTATTAAATTACTGCACCACAATTTATGTTATGGTCATTAATGCATAAAGTAATTCCAATCTCCTATACCACCTATTTGTGTGCCTATGCTGCTCAAGTTTACCCGAAGATCATGAATATATCAAATAACTAGAACTGTCATTCAAATTGAACTGTCATTCAAACCAATTATTGATTATTAGTTAAATGTTTATAACTGTAATTTGCTTATTTACCTGGGTTCTTAGTCTTTTACATAAAGGTTAGACTCATGGACCACTGTTTCAAATCCAGCTGTCTTCAGCAATTTCGTAATTTAGACTATGGCTATCAGCAGGGTTATTAATCACCAACCAAAAAAATTGTCTCAGTTCAAGGAGGGTGGATCTGACCTGAGTGATAAATCGCTCAGTGCCTAAAATAACGACGAAAGACCACAGGTTAAAATACAATGGTACCTTTATTAGCTAATAATAAAAAGGAATGACTCAGGAATGCATTAAAAATACATTGGTGCAGGAAAGAATGGGTTAGTTCAGCTGGCACCAGGACATTGGGCCAACTAGAACAAGAGAGTTAGAGGAATCAAATGGCTGATACCATAGGGTCGGCAATTATACCAGTCAGTCCAATGGTAGTAGCCTAACTTTTCAAACAAATGGGAAAAAAAGAACCAGGCTCAGTAAGCATTAACATTCAGTTCAGAACTCTTACATAAAACCCATCAGCAGTGGAATCAGGAAGCTTCTTTCAGATAAAACACAAATAACAGAGTATTTATTAAGCATCAGATGAAAGAGGGGAAATTATGTTTACTTGTTGACTCAGTGAAATGGAAGTGGGCGTGAGTTTGGATTTGCTCTGGCGTGCAGCTCGGTTCAGTTGGTTCCGTCAAGTCCATTTGTCCAAAAGGCATTCGAATTTTTCTGATGCAAAGAACAAAAAGAAACTTTGCAGGACTTAACTTTGGCACTCACAGCAGCCTTTGCACGGGGATCCACTTAAGGCTGTGGGTAGCTTGTAGCAGTGGCTCAGGCGGCGGCAGCACAGCTCCAAACAGCAGCCAGACCAATGGGTCACAGTCCGGTCGTTTCACAGTTCAAGGCAGCAGCAGAACCAGTGAGGCACAGGTAAGCGGCTTCTGTGTGGCTCCTTGGCACAACAGCGATTGGGCCTGGGTGTCCCGTGGGTAGACTAATATGGAGGTATTCTTATCTACTTCAGTAGGCGGGTTCACAAAACACTACGTTCAATCTGGTTTGAAATGCATGAAAAACAAATTCCCTACATTCAGCTCCATCTGAATCGTAGGCAGGGTGCAGTCTAATTCGGCCAGCAAACACAGACTCTTTTCCGGAAGGGATTTGGTGGGCTACCGTAACCTCAGCTGAAAACTTGCGTGTCTCGCCTCACTAGACCCACAGGCCTCCAGCTAAGAGGAGCTTAAATGGTGGTTGGCTGCTTAAGTAGACTCTGTTGTAGGCATGTGAAGTCGGGGGAATTACTCCCGCTTATGTCATTGACATTTGATCCTCAACACCTGCTTAATGCTAAAGTCGTATCTAAATTAGCAGATCTGCACAAACCCTCCTCCAGCAACACTATGATGTCTACACAGTCAAAAGTCATCAATGGTTTCAAAATTAGTTGGCGTTTGTTATGGCATTTTACATCTGTGACATTTTTCTCTCTCAAAGATTATTTGCATTTCAAAGAAGGGAAAGATAAGATTTCTTGTAATTCATTGACCAACATGGCTTCTAGACAACAATGTGTTGTATAAAAAGCTGAATTAGTTTTGCTTTGCAACTGTGTACCAGGAGCATCTAGAGACCCTTTAAAGTAATAATTTAAGAATGCATGAAAGGTTGACTCACTTTTTGACGGTGTATAAACAGCTCCCATTTTTTAACTTTTACAACTATTAATAAAGTACATTGAAAACAACTTGCAACAAGATACAGTCTCAGGAATACATGCATTGAAACACAAATTATGTTGGCATGGTACTGTGTAGGTACTGAAGGTGAACATTTATTGAAGGTTATACCATGTGTGAGTTTTAGGAAATGGGCCTGGCCTAAGGGGCATGTAAGAAATCTGTTATGGCTTTTAGCCCTGAGAGCAGTGATGGGGCCTTTGGTCAGACTTTGGTCTTTGCAGTTAGGTAAATGTGCAAGAAAGTCATTTATGATTTGATCATCTGCTCCTGGATAAACTGTTGTTATCTCAAAGCTGCAAAGGACTGGAGGTATTTTAAATGTGGAAAAAGCTCTCTTTGAAGTGTATCCTTTATTATAATGTTTTCATTTTAAAATCTGAGATAATTCTGCATTTGTATCATTGATGTATTAAATTCTGTGGATGAGAACGTAAATAGGGTTGTGGTGTTACAGTTTTCTTTTTTTTTCACCTGCTAGGTGGATCAAGAGCCATATGTTTATACTGATAAGTATACCAACTCTCTACAAATGTAAATATTGAGCTGTCATAATTTACATTATGCATCCAGATTAGTGTTTAATACATCATCCCAAATAAACTAGAAAAATAGCAAAAAAAAAGACAAATAAAGAGATAAGATTCAGTTAGCTAGTAGGACAAAAAGGATTTTAAAGGAGGAAAAATGGAAAACAAAACCCTAAATCAATTGGATTTAAAATATGTGCTTATAGATGTAGAGGGTATTGTAAGGAGAGAAACATGATACAACTCTACTGGTTGTTTTAAAGACAGAGGGAACACAGGAACATTAAGCCATTAGGTGGAGGACAACTGGATGTGAAACCAAAGGTAGACACACAATTATATCCAGACAAAGGAGGCTTGTCAGTTTGACTGTGGCTGATACAAAGAACATGGCTCAGCTTCTGTAAAACCATTCTGTAACTTCCAGTAACACCAGAGAGACACCCTCAATTATTTGATCAGGTCACTGTAAACTATGAACAGATGGTATCCAATGCATGCAATGGATTGAAAAAAATATTAAACCACATAGATTTTTTTAAAAGTCTCATTAAAACGACAACCTTTACTTGAGATTTTACTTGGGACTCCTGGGATTTTGTGTGATAAACATTAAACAACACATACTTTATAGTTGTAAAGTGGACTGGGAAAAATAAATGGTATAATCTTTTAACAAGTGTAATTATAGAAAGGTCATATGTTAATTAGGGAGGGGAAAATAAGATTTTTTAATCATGAAAATAATATATTGCAATTAATGTTCTCTGGAACCCAGAAAATTGACATTAACATGAGGTGCAATAAGCCATGATCAGATGTCCAGGATCAGATGCTTGTCTCAGATCTCTGAATTAAAAGATAATCCTCAGAGTCAGGTTAAGCATATGCAAAACAGCTAATTATTCCTTTAAAAAGTTGTACCATCTTTAACACAGAAAGAATATTGTTTCTCGTAAAACAGAGGCTGCATGATCAACCTTCATACCTCTTCTACACACATAGTAATATTTGCAATATGTACAGTATATGGAAATATACAAATATACTACTTTGCCAAAACCTGACTGACTAAGTATCTTTCCATTCCTAATCTATAGGGGTTTAGAATGATGGTCAACCCTTTGCAGCTAGAACAGCTTCAACTCTTCTACAAAGGCTGCCTCTAAGGTGTGTTTACTTATGGGGATATTTGAACATCTTCCAGAAGAGTGTTGGGCAGATCAAACACTAATATTGGACAACAAGGCCTGGCTCTAAGTCTCCACTCTCATTCCTCCCTAAAGGTGTATATCAGGTTAAGGTCAGGACTCAGTGCAGTCCAGTCAAGTTCATTCACACCAGACTCTGGCATCCATTTCTTTATGGATCTTGCTTTGAACAATAGTGCACAGTCATGTTGGAAGAGTACGGGGTTAGCGACATACTGTTCCTACCAAGATGGAAGCATTGAAATCTCCCAAATTTCTTGGTATGCTAAAGCATTCAGAGTTCATTTCAGTAGAATGAAGGGGCCAGGTACAGCTCCTTAAAAACAACCCCACACCTTAATCCCTCACCCCACGTTTCTACTTGGCACAATTCAGTCAGACAAGTACCATTCGCCTGGAAACCTCCAAAGCCAAATTCATCTATCAGATTTCAAGATGGAGAAGCCTAATTCATCACTCCAGAAAAATGTATGTCGTCTGCTCCGGGGGCCAATGACGGGGTGCTTTAAACCACTGCATCCCAAATAGGATAAACTATATAATAACAATTTTATTGTATGCAATAAAAAAATTCAGGAAGTAATTGATTTAATTCAAAATCCAAATAAAATGAGATTTCAGATGTAGTTGGCCAGCTTACCCTGTTGTATCAGTGGAAATCACAACTTCTCATAAACGGGACAGATGGACCCAGTATTCCAGGCTGATTCAGAATCTAACAATGTGAAGATTCAAAACGTTTAATGAAAGAAATAATAAAACAGAACAGAAGCACAGGCTGCTGGGGATAATCAGACCACAGTGGCTGCAGGGGGGCGGGGCGCCACCAATCACTGACACTCTGGAGAGAGAAACACAGGTAAGTGACCATGATCATCTGACAAGAGATGATTATCAGAGTGAGTCAGTTTCCTGGTTTAACAGTTCAGTCCATCTCCTTTTAAACAGGCGAGATCCAGCGGATGGACTGCCAACGAGACGTGGCGTGGGCTGC